TGCTTTGAGATTAAGTGGTAGAATTTTTAGTTGGTCATATGTAGAATTGCTCTTAAATTACCATTCCCAAAATTATATGGACATATGTTCACAACGCATCAACTGAAGCCCATAGGAAAAGAACAGCTAAAAGCCCATAATGAAGAAGTAGATAGAGTTCCCAGCCGAGGCCCGAAAGTATAGCATCTCCAATATATTTTATGAATTACAATTTATGAGTCATTTAAATAGAATATTTCCGACCTATATGGCAATTATATATCTAACGAAAATATAACTATAATGATTCTATCTATAATTCAAATTAGGGAGAGAAAAAGGGAGAAATAAATGTTAAATTCTGATGATTTATTTCGTCTGGAAGAGCCTCTACATCTGGACGATTTTTTTGAAAATGTCTACTTTTTCAGTTTTTCTTGTCATGACGCAAGACATAGCCCTGGACATGTTGTATTGAAGATGAACTTTTGCAGACATTATTTCTTTTAACTCATATGACAAACTTTTTATTGCAATCCACGTTAGTATTGAAAACGTTCCATCTCTCAGGGTTTGGTACGGCAATTGAAAAAGAAATTTCTTTTCATTATTGCTCAGGAATTTCGATTAGATGTGGATAAAAGTACTCGATCGAGTATAGAGAGCTCCAAAACTTTTCTTTTTTCTGATTTTTCTGTCGCGGAAAAATGGGAATTTTCATGTACTTCTGGCAAAAGCTCAATGCTCATCTGGCACTTCTATTTTACCTTAAAAATAGGACTAAGACTTCCCCCTCACGTGCCAGCTACAGATTTTTGGGCTGTCCCCCACGTGATTTAATTTTTTTTCTTTTTGCTTTAAACTACTTCTTTGCATCTCTTCTCCTCTTTATTTACCAAAAAAGAAAAAGAAAAAGAAAAATCTCAACCCCCAACCCTCCATCTTTTCTAATTTTACGTTTTTATAGTTGAGAAAAAATTAATTTTATTGTCCAATTATAGTTCTATACTCTTCAACTATCCATTCACGTAGAGTCTGATACGTACGCAATTTTCTTAAATAAATTGCATCGAAACTTGATTTTATGCCCTAAACAACGGATACTTAGCAAGATCCATTGATATTTAACCTCAATATCGTCTGGACAAATACTGCGTACAATGATGTGAGCACCTTAATAGAGGTTTCCATACTGATTTTAAGCAGCCTTTGTCAATTTTTATCCCTTTCTTCCTTTCATCATTATCTCCTTTTTCTTTCAATTTAGTCCCTTGTGATAGTTCACGGCTCGTGACCATAGATTTGTAGGTGCAATGTTATCATGTGAATCAAAAGATAAAGTGCCTATGGATAGCAATCATGCCCTCGTGGCCAAAAGTAATCAAGTATCTTTCTGGGTTTTTTTTTTTTTTTTTTTTTAATTTTTTTTTTTTTAAAAAAAAAAAAACATAAAAAAAAAAAAAAAAACACCCACATACAAAAACGAAAAAAATTAAAAGAAGCAAAAAAGGAAAATGAAAAATAATTGATGGAAAAGAAATTAAATTAAGAAAAAAGAAATTAAAAAAAATTACAAGATTCAATTTTTAAAAAAATAAAAAGGAAATAAAAAAAAATACAAGATTTAAGATTGATAAAAAAAAGGAAATAAAAACAAAAAATATAATAAATTAAATTGAAAATGAAAAAAAAAATGACGTTGGGCCCAATTTGGGCGGCCAGCTGGGCCGTCCGTAACGGATGGCCTAGTGCCGAACGAATCCATGCCCAGATACGTCCGGACGCAATGGGCTCGCCAAATTTTTTTATTTTCAACGAGTTCCGTCCTAAAATTTTACTTTTCAAGCATGTTTCAGCTTCAAATAAAATTTTTCTTCCATCTTAACCATAAATAAACTTCAATATTTGTATTAAACTTGTAAATTAACACATTCAATAAAAAAAAAAAAAAAGGAAACAAATCTCTACATTTACCACTATGAAATACTAAAGANATTTTTCTTCCATTTTAACCATAAATAAACTTCAATATTTGTATTAAACTTGTAAATTAACACATTAAAAAAAAAAAAAAAAAGGAAACAAATCTCTACATTTACCACTATGAAATACTAAAGATTTCAAACAAATACTGACATTGTCTTTAGAAGGTGAGCAGGGTCGTTTGTTTCGTCTATAATCTTAGGTCATATTTGATTGCACTTCAATTCCATGAAAGATAGAAATTAAATTCTATTTTCCACATTTTTGCATGTTTGATTGCCCAAATTTTTCATGGAATTAGTTTTTCATCTTTTACCAACATGCTCACATTTCTTGATTTTTGAGGAAAAACTTTTTCTCACCACTTTGATGGGAACAACTTTTTTAGGCAACTTTTTTTTTAATTTTTTTTTTTTGCAATGAAAACAAATTATGTCCCAAATTGTAACAAATTATATTCTTTTAATGGACAATTTTCATGGAAAACAAAGTCAAACGAATACCAAAAGATTCAAAATTTCAATATTTTCCAGGTGAAAAATTATACCAATCAAACATAATTAATCGATAATTTCCAATAAAACAAGTTCTAGACAATTCAATTCCTTGAAATTTATTTTCTTTCCACCCAAATTTCATTTTTGTAATCAAACGGACCCTTTGAGTCAAGATCTACTGCCTTTTCTTTTTATTTTCTCTCCTTTTTTAGAGGGCATAATCGGTAACTAAACCTTTGTTTTTTTTTTATCTTTCTTTTTTTCATTTGATACTTGTCCAAGGGCATTTTGAAAATTGAGACGGTCAATTAGCCATTGGCTATTATTTCCTCGGAGGAGTACAGAGCGGATCATGTTGGGTCTCTTTGCATGTTCAGCCTGCTGGAAAGTCCCAAGAGCAGTACAAAATTAACTACAAATTTGAAACATTCTTCGTCCTAATATTATATGATGAGGTGTTCTCCTCCTTATTCTTCTCACCAAAAATTTGAGAGTTTTTTTTTTTCTTCACTCTAAGTTTCTCCTTTCTCTTTGTTTTAAGAGTTTAGTTCTTAGTAACTTAGATACTTTAGTTCTTTATTCTAATTTGATGATAGAATTGTGAACATTTTTAATTCCCCTAAAGTAGTGAAGATGTTTTAGTCAGCTACTTTCAACCGTTGTATCATGGGAGACAGACACCATTAGTCATAAATACGACAACTACATCAACAACATTTTTTGCTAATTTTATTATTACTCTGTTTATTGTAATATTTCTTTCCATTATTTTATTTATACAATTCCAGCAGTATTTCTAATTTCCTTTTTGTATTTTTCAAATTAATTCATGACTATTGTAATATTATTTGTGTTAAATACAAAATTAACTAAGAATTTGAAAAACTTGAAACCTATGAATTGTTGTTTCAATTTCATTCAACTTGAATATATTGCT